GGGTGGGTGATGAGTGAGGGAGAAGCAGATACAAGGCAGAGCTCATTTTTCAGATGGTCTCCTTGTACAGTTGACCCATTTATTTTTTTGTTGGTTCTTCCCTCCTCTTTCCCTCCCCACTTTCCCCGAGAGGCTGTACTGGCCAGATGCTTCTTATATGCTAGCAGGCCCTCTTTCAGGAGCATCACCAGAACTCTGACAAATGATGCTGTGAAAAGACAAATGAAGGATCAACTGAGGTATCTTTCCCCAGCCATTTAAAATTAGTTGGCAGACCCAGCTACTTGGGAGGCTGTGGTGTGAGGACAGATTCAGCATGGGAAGTTGAGGCTGCAGTGAGTCATGATCGTGCCACCACACTCCAGCTTGGGTGACAGAGTAAGACTCTGCCTCAAAAAAAAAAAAAAAAAAAAGGTAGCCATCTGGAAGGGATCCCTCGGTAGGCACCTTGGACTTCGTAGCTTTTGGAACTGTGAGAAATAAATGTTGTTTAAGCCACAAATCTATGGTATTTGTTACAGCAGCCAGAGTAGACCAAGACAGAGTATTTGCTGATAAAGCTGTAATATGTTTTGTGGGAATTTCTGTACCCATGTTTTATCTTAAAATTAAATATTAAAAAAAAATTAACAAAACAAAAACAAAAACCTTTCCAGATCCCTTACCTGTGCCTTGGCCAATTTCTTTTCCAGAAGGTCCCGTTCCCTCTCTGTTTGCTGGAGACGTTTATTAAGTTCCACTATATCTCCCTTTAGTGATGCCAGGGCTGCCGAATGGAGCTGTGGTGACAGAAAGGAGGAGATTATTGTAGCAGAGATGCATTTCCTTCCCTTCATTCCCGCAACTAGCATAACCAAATAAAAAGCCTGTCATCCAAAAAGCAACACTTTTGAGAATGAAGGTAAGTGTTACCTTACCTTCATTACCTTCTTGCAGACAACAGACATAAATCAGATGTGCTACCAGCAAGCTGGGTTATATGGTCACCCTAAATATTATGTGTGGGCCATGGGACCTAATTTTGGATGGTATAATCAGGCCAGAGAACAAAACTTCTCTTTCCAATGGCTTTCCCCAAGTTACTCAGTGAGGATGAGCATGACAGCTGAAGTGGAGCTGCGTGACTCTTATCATGAGATGCAAGAAAATGCAGAACCACATTAATTTTCACCGTCAGAAAATACGAAAGCTGAATAGGGCAATTTGGTTTTTTGGAATCCAGTCATCTAAATTGCTGCATGCATGTATGACAGCCAGACAGGGACTAAGCATTAAAAAAAAAAAAAAAAAAAAACTGAAGAAGAAAGAATGTTCTTCAACAGATTGATAGGAGGCCCCACGTACATCCAGAATCTCAATCTGTTCAACTTTCAAGTTCTAAAGACTGGACTTCGGCTGCACACACACCTACCACACGTGTGCCTTCTGTGACTTTTCAGGCTGACGGATGGAACTATTTTTAAGACCCGTTCAACACACTGGTCCCAAAGCAACACCCTGAAACCTCCTTTGAAACCTTGAAACTTTCCATTCCAGGTGGAGCTCAGACTATCCCCTCGCTGAATTCCATACTACATTTGGGTAAACAACTGGAATCAGAACAAACCATCCCCTGGCTTTATAGGCTTTTTGTAGTCTTTGCCAAGAAGAAGTTCAAGTAAGAAGTGAGCAAATACATTTGATCTTTAAAGACGGACACAGGACAACGGTACATAACTTAACTTTGAAGATTCTCATTTGAGGCTTAGAAAAATGTGCTTTTCTGCAACCTGCCCTCCACACACAGCATGTTGGCTGACAGGCTTTGGGGTGAGGGTGGGGTGGGTGATGAGTGAGGGAGAAGCAGATACAAGGTAGAGTGTGGGGTTTCAAAGCAGTTGTTTTTGTTAGACTCTAATAGTAGTAAATGCGACTTCATTTAATTGCATTGGAGCAGTAAACCAACAGATCAATAGCTGATTTGAAACCAGGAATGCTTAAAATTAAAAAAAGAAAATGTCAGGCAATCTGGCAGTATTTGTCTTCTGATGTAGGGCTAGGGCGGCTTGGAAAAGGTCACTGTGGGTTTCAGATACAACGTTTTGTGTGAAGACTTCTCAGTACAAGTACCACAGTGTTCCCATTGTATAATCTCTTTGAGATTGGTTTGTTTGCTGGAGAGGGAACAAATTCACTCCCTTTGATGGTTGGTTGCCCCCTCAGCCTCTGAACTGTCAGTCTGAGGATTTTCCTTCAGCATCTGACACTGTGGCATGTTACACTACTATACCAACTCTTGAGAGAGGATTTGCCACCTCACCTCCAGCGAGAAGGATAAAATACGTGAGAGCTGACATGTTCTTTAAGAAATTGAGGAGTGGGGATAAGGATCCCAGTTCTGTGAGCCTAGACTTGCTTCCTTCCTCGTTATATCTCCCCTCCTACTTCTGGGGAAAAGGGCTGCTTGGAGGGGTTAGGGCAATCCCGGAGGGAAAAGCGGAGAGAATGCTGCATGCTCCCCCACGGACTCGATGAACTGGGCCAGATGGAGACACACAGAGTACTTACTTCCATCACAGACTTGGAAAAGGGGTCCAGGATGGGTCACTGTCATGGGGGAGAGCACCAGGCTTGGAGTGATAATACCTTCCGGCCTACCAGCTCTCCAGATTTCCAGGAAGAGCTGTCAGATGCCCACTGGGGGCAGGTCCCTTCATTTCTCTGGATGGAAGGTGCCTATGTATGAGGTGAGAATAGATTCCTTGAGAATCTCATGAATGCAATGGACCCTTCTACCAGGGCAGAGATGAGTTTGGGATGCACGCATATTTTCCACCCAGTGATGGTGATGACGCACTCTGGATTCTATCTATGGGCCCCTCAATAAGAAACATCTGGACTCGATGTCAGCTCTGTGACCCCACATCAGTTTCAGAGACTGTCTCATGCGTCATCATCACAGATGTCTGAGTGGGGAAAAGAACCTTGGTACGATGTCCCCCACTTCACAACTGCAGGTGAGGATCTGGAATCCAGAGTCTGACTCGCTTACTCAAGGTCTCATGGTCAGCTGAGCACCAGGGCCAAGGCCACAGCACTCTTTTCTGGCTCCGTGGTGCTGCACATGACAGAAGTCTTCAGTTTTTTACTTGGATGAAAATGTTACTTAACATATCTTCTCTGATTATAAAAGTTCTAAAATTGTGACAGAAAAATAAACCAGAAAGAGCATTCTCACATTTTAGTGATGGGCTTTGGGTGGTTTTAAGCTGTTTTTTGTTTGGGTACTTTTTGTTTAATGAGCATTTTTTCCTAAAAGAAGTTATGTTTGTATTAAAGACAAGATAAAATAAAGTGACTGTTTTCTGGACATGCAGGCTGTAGTGTAAACATTGTACAGGGTTATTTTGCTTCCTTGCTGCAGTCTGTCTGTCCACCAGCTCTTCTGATAGAAGGAAAAACTGTAACAATGAGGTAGAAGAAAACATGTCTCTTACTGTTACTGACAATTCCTCGGCAGAGGCTACAACTAGAGAGAGCAGAAGATGGAGTGGGAGAAGTCACCAACCAGCCATAAGCCACACCGCCTAGAATTGGCTGACAGACCACTCCCTGACCTCCTGGACTGAGTAGGAGAGGAGAGGAGAGGAGTGGACTTCCCACCACAAGTTTGAGTGCTGGACACTCAATCTCTGTGCGTTTGACTTCAGTGGTACTCCCTGTCCCACTGCATCACCAACTCAAGTCATCAAAAGCTGCCATAACCTCCCTTCTTTTGGGGTTTCACCACTCTCTGGCAGAGTTGGTGGCATCCCTGAAATTCAAAACCTAGAGTGTTTGTGAGTGATGCTACACGAGGGAATTTGTGTAGTTGTGTGTTGGCAAGCACGAAAAACTTAGTTTAGAGGTCCTTCTAGGCAGTTAAAACTTTTTTACTGAAATATAATGTTTACACATATTTATGGGGTACATGTGATATTTTGATGCATGCATACAATGTGTAATGATCAAATCAGGATATTTAAAATAATCATCACCACAAACATTTTTCATTTCTTTGTGCTAGGAACATTTCAAATTTCTTCTAGCTGTTCTGAAATAGACATTATTGCCAGCTATAGTCACCCTACTGTGCTACCAAACACCCAGAGTTATTTCTTCTAACAGTATGTTTGTACCCATTAACCAACCTCTCTCTTCATCCCTCCCCCATTATCCTCACGTTCTTCCCCACCTCTGGTACCTATCATTCTATTCTCTATCTCTGTGAGATCAACTTTTTTAGCACCCACCTGAGTAAGAACATGTGATATTTGTCTTTCTGTGCCTGGCTTATTTCACTTAATGACCTCCAGTTCTGTCCACATTGCTGCAAATGACAGGATTTTATTCTTTATTATGGCTGAATAATATTCCACTGTGCACATGTACCACACTCTCTATATCCATTCATCTGATGATGCGCACTTAGGCCGACTCCGTATCTTGGCTATTGTAAACTGTGCTGCAATAAACATGCGGATACAGGTGTTCCTGTAATAAGCTGATTTTCTTTCCTTTGAACAAATACCCAAGTAGTGGAATTGGATCATATGGTAGTTCTATTTTTAGGGTTTTTTTTAGGAACCTCCACACTGTTTTCCATAATGGTTGTCCTAATTTACATTCCCACCAACAGTGTATAAGAGTGCCTCTGGGTAATTTTTAAAAGGACTGACAGCAGGTTTAAATCTTGGAAAGATAAATGTACTAAAGCAACCAAAATTGTCAAGTACGTATAAATGGGAAATTATATTTATGCCCATTTTTGGGATTCCTTTAATCACATTCTGGTTTCTCAAATGGCCTCTAACTTGAGTGAGAGATTCAGAAATATGAACTATGAAGTATGATGAAAAGAAAATGTTCCATGAACCAAAGAGAAAGAAAATACATCCTGTTTGGAGTCTGTGCTAGTGTCTTCCTCAACACATATTTCTCTTCATCCTCAGGAGTCAGATGCTGATTTTTAGCTGGCCATATTGCTGCTCAGCTAAAACATCCCAGTTCCCATCCTTCAGTGCAGTTGGAGCTAGGTATAGCCATGTGACAAAGTTCTGGCCAGCGCGGTGTAAGCAGAAATACTGTGCGAGAGATATGGGAAAATCTTTTTGAGAGGCCACACCCTTTTTCCTTTCGTCCATCCTTGCTGTTTCCTATCTTATGTGATGGATGGAGCTATAGCAGCCATCCTGTGCTACAAAGCTGAGATTCTAGGGAGGAGAAAGGTGCCTGAGTCCCTAGCAACTTTGTGGAGCCACCCTACCAGCTTTGGACTGCCTAACCCCAGACTTCTGTTACAGAGCTGCAAGAAACAAACCTCTGTTGTACAAAGTGCTGTAAGTTGAGAGTTTCTGCCAAATGAAGCTGATCTTATCCTAATTCACAGAATCAGATGAACCTGGGTTCAAATCTGAGCTATACCACTTGTTGGTGGACTGTCCTTGCACAATTTAATCCCTTTTGTTGTAGGACTGTGTCGAGACAAATGATGGCATCCAGAAAGCTACTTGCATGGTGATTGGAACCAGGTAAGCACTCAACAAACGGGTTTGTTTGAAGTCAACAACCTTCTCAGGCAAACCAAGCCCCATCAGAGGTGCTAGGGACACTCAGACTAGGAAAACAGTCCTGTCCTGGAGAAGCATATCGCCTGGTGGATAGCACAGGACTAAGAAGCCAATAGCTGCGTTGCCAGATTCTGCTGAAATCCTAAGGCTTAAGGAGCTGACAGCCAGGGCTCTTAGTTCTCTGTGAAATT